AGAAAGAAAGAAAGAAAGAAAGAAAGAAAGAAAGAAAGAAAGAAAGAAAGAAAGAAAGAAAGAAAGAAGCTCCAAAATGTTGTGTAATATGAGTGAGTCTCAGCTACTTTCACATTCAGTTTAGCTAAATATCAGTGAAATTAACTGAGTTTTAACCACTTATGTGTTTTCTAAGATCAGTTGGCTGTGGTYGCCATCTRAAATTGGATTGACTTCAAAACTTTATCAATTTTAAATACATACCTAATGATTACTTTCAGAAAGTTTTATTAGAATCCAGTTTGTGGTTCATTAGATATTTTTGCTAACAGACAGATGCAGTTGACTTCAATATTAAATGTCCAAGTTTTAAAAACAGGTCTCAAGTAATTAATTAATGCCTTGAGCATGTGATGGAGCTAACTCTCAGCTACTGCCACACCACCTTTCAGCTCAATATCTGAAAAAGTGACTGAGTTGTAGCCACTTTTCTATTTAATGGGGTTGCATAGCTGTGGCAGCCATCTTGAATGGGGTTGACCGCAAAAAGTTGCTTTAAGGCGACAATAATCCACTTTGGTCTTCAAACTAGTCATTAGCACATTGATCTTTTCATATAAATAATCAGTTTTTCCAAACTGGGGTCTTTCAAAGAGTTATCCATAACAGGTTGGATAATGATGCTGAAAATCTTTTCACAGAGCCTCACTTTAAAAAGCTGAACCGTTGCTTTAAGCACAAATTAAARGTGTTTGATCTGCAGCATAACTTTTTAATTGTTTTGTTCAGTCTTATTAAGGGTTTCCATCAGGGTAAATGATCTTGAGTACTATCACGACGCTTTAGAACCGTTTTCTGCATCTCAGTGAAATTGCACTGAAATCCTGAGCAGACAGGACGTTAAATCARTGACTGACCTTCCTGCTCTCTGCTCTTTATCTCTCAGCTGCGCAACGCCATGGTAAACAGGAGGACGGGGACTTTCTCTATGGAGGTGAAGAGGACTGTGGACAGAGGGGTGAGGCTGCAGATAAGTGTCCACCGATCAGATGATGGTTGTCCTCGCGGATCTCTCGGGACTAAATTAGCTTTTCCTTTATTTTTAGAGGCGTGTGCTCAAAATGCACAATGACTATTACTACACTGACATCAAAGGAACTCCGTTCAGGTGAASAAAAAGTTGAACTACATTCCCAAATATTTTGCTGTCAGATTCAGTCAAACGGTGGTTTTCTTGTGTTTGTGGCTCCAGTGTTGGAGTAGCTCTCTCAAGAGGTCATGGGAAATATTTCTTCAGAGGAAACGTGTCCATGGACGCAGGTACTTCACTCTAAGTTTGTTTTGGTGTCTGGATAAGGGTTCTACAATGTCTTGATGTTACTGGAACAATTGTGCTCATGTCGGTGCATCAGTCAGAGCCGACCAGCACTGCTGAAGCGTTACTGACTTGTGTGTGTGTGTGTGTGTTTGTGTGTGTTTTCTTCTCAGGGCTCCGTGATCTGGAACAGCCAGATGTCGCCTTGGCAGATGAATGGTGAGGCAGGGGTTGTGAAAAGTGGTCGCTCATGCATTATGTAGGTTACATCACCYCGAGGTTCTAACTGTTACTGGGTCACGTGCACACAGGACCTACTGCAACACGGAGGAGAAGCACGAGCACCGTCACCTGAGCCAGATTCAAGCCATAAAGCTCTTTATGACGGGCCGCAAATCACATTTCAAATGTAAGGGCCGAACCAGCCTGTGTGCACATTGTTCATATTTTATTTTATTTTATTTTATTTTGTTTTGTTTTGTTTTGTTTTGTTTTGTTTTGTTTTACCATTATGTAAATAAGTGGTAACATTGTAGGAGAGGTCATAATGAATCGTATGTTTTGTATCTGATCCTGCAGGTGACAGAGAGTTGATCCAGGAGGTGTTGTTTGATGCGGTGGTCACTGCTCCTCTGAAGAACTACTGGAATAGTTTGGCTCAAAACAAATCAGAGTAAGAACATTTCAGACTTCAAGCCCTAAACAAAAGATACCGAAAGAAAATATTGTTAAGCGTGTTTGTTTACAATGTGCTTGAACCACACGGAGACTGTACCAATGCATGGAAATTGATTAGAAAAGAGTTCATGCAACCCACACACAGAARCGRTCGGTCTGAAGGCAYTTTATTGGTCTGTGTTCAGGCCCTGTTTTCCAGAAGTCAGTTCAATATAACAGAAAGCTCCAGGACATGACTCCGCCTATTTTATTACATCATCAGGAAGGGGTCCCTCACCTTGCTTGAGCCATGTCCACAGACAATATAATCTGACCTGATGAAGATTTAACAGTTCAATTGTTTGTTGAATCTGTGTTCAGGCATGTATCTCCATAAAATCATCAGTTTAAGCAAAATAATCACATTTAACTGATATTACAGTTCTAATAAAAGTACTACACCATGTGTAGTGTAATTAAAATCAGTACATAAACAAACCCCAATAAATTTCTTCAATACGAACATGTTTTTTGATTTCTTTTTAGAAATTAGAAGAAATTGCCACAATAAAGGCTCTTAAATAGATTTCTACTAAGACTAAATATTATAAAAAACATTGAAGGCCTTTTTATCAGTTTATTATTTAAATCATGTGGTGGTAAAAGAGTTTCTCGCTCTCTCAGAAACCCAGACAAAGGAGTGGAGATCGCCTTCCTGGGAACGCGGACCGGTCTGTCGAGAACCAAACAGTTTGTTCCCACTGATCAGCTGTCCAATCAGTGAGTGCTGCGTCTCTGATCCTCTGACTGGGTTTGGTTCATCTAATCATTCAAATCCTCACCTGGGTTTCACTGTGTGTGCCTCCCAGGGACCTGCTGACGGCAGAGGACAAGGAGGGGGTGTTCAACGCAGATCACTTCCCTCTGTGGTACAAGAGAGCCGCAGAGCTGGTCCCCGGCACGTTTGTCTACTCCATCCCCTTCAGCACAGGTGGACGTGAAGCTTTCACTGCATCCAGCATGAGCTGAATGTTCTGTCTTCACTTCATTTTCTACAGTTTTAGAAACACAGAGCACCTGTTTGCAGCGAAATGAACCACAGCTGGAAAACTGCCAGCGTTCACATCATAACCTTTAATGTTCAGTCACTGCGACCATGATTAGTCATGTTGGGGGAGAAGAAGCACTTAATGGGCATKATTTTTGTAAATTTCAAAATAAAAAAAAAACCATCTTGATAGCTTTTCAGAGTAAAGGCTGCCATCTGGTGAGCAGAAAAAGTAACCAGAACAGATTCTCCGCTTTTCTTTTCTTTTCTTTTTTTCTAGCGTTAGAAAACAAGAGTGTGGTTTTGGCCAGCACAGCCATTCAGCTCCTCGATGACAGAAAATCTCCAATTGTTGCTGGTAATGATTTTTATTTCATGTCGGTGTTAAGCTTTACTCGTCATGTTGAAACTCATTATTATTTTTACTCTCACTCAGCTGTAGGACTCCAGATGAAGCTCGAGTATTTTCAGAGGAAGTTTTGGACGGCCTGCAGACAGGTAGACAACTTCTGCTCCAAGCTACTAAAATAACATTAATTAAATAAAATAATGAGTTCCAACAATGTTCTGTTAAACTAAACTATTGTTTTGTGCTCAGTGCACGGCTCTGGATGGAAAGTGCAGCATTAGCTGTGATTCTGAGGTAAAAACAGACTAAATAAAGACATTTCATGACTCTTGCTTTTTAGACATTTATTTTAACAGTTGTTATTTTCCCTCCACAGGACATCAACTGTTACCTGATTGACAACAACGGCTTCATTCTGGTTACAGAAGAACAGTCTCAGGTAAAATCTGTGTTGATTTCTTCACATTTCTCTGAAGACTCATCCTAACCTCGGTTACTTTGTTTCTTCTTTTGTTTTAAAAACATCTGGGACTTTTGTACACAATGAAAACTTTTCTTTGTGACTTTAGGAATCACAGGTGTTTTATATTAGTTTTCATAAATTGGAAAATCGTACAACAATAGTCTCTTGCAAAAAAAAATATCTGTGATCTCAGTAGGATTTGCCTGGTTAAATAAAGGTTTAAAAATAAAAGAAAGTAAAATGTTTCAGTTACAAAGGTTCAAAAGAACAGAACTGAAAAATGTCACAAAATCTGCTTAACCCATAAATACTAAATAAAGATGAAGTCAGTCATACGGTCTCTCTCAGACAGGACTCTTCTTCGGAGAGGTGGAGGGAGCTGTGATGAACAAACTGCTCCAGATGGGATGTTTTAAAAGGTTAACGACACAAAAACGACATTTCTTTCTGTTCTAAACCCAATTTTTAATAAAAATTTTGTTAAAACATGTGTTTTTTTATGTTTTCTCCAGGATCACCCTGTATGACTATCAGGCTCTTTGCAGAGAGTATGCTGGGAGCAGCGACAGCGCACGCACTTTATCAGATGTAAGTGTGAGAGAGATAACAGAGATAAAAACAAAACTAACTAGTGCAATAGTATAAACTAACATCTAAATATAAGAGCAAAGTGTCTGATGATCATGTCTGAGTTGGTGGTAATGTTATTAAAATGCAAAAGAATTGTGAAAAGTTTACCTTTTCTTCTTCTTTTTTTTTACTTTCAGCCTTTTTCTGTGGTCAAGTGGCTGCTGACGGAACTCATCATGTAATAATCTTTGAAAATTTACTTCCTTTGCTTTTACTTTTTTATTTATACAAATAATATCACAAATGTGCTATTTATTGTGTGGGTTTTTTTTTTCAGTTTTCTGCTAGAATTTAACCTGTACAGCTGGTGGAACGTCGATCTGTCAGTGAAAGGTAACTTTAGGTGACCGTCTATGTGAGAACACAGCTTCACTCAGTTTCTGTGGTTCAGCGGAGCTCGTTTTCCTCTCACATTCAGCTCAGAGATCTGGCAAAACCATGATGGTGCCTTGTGACACAGAATACCCTGCCTTTGTCTCCGAACGCACCATCAAAGAAACGACAGGGAACATCGAGTGTGACGGCTGCGTCAGGTCAGGCAACCATAAAAATCTTATTTTAAACTCATTAAATGATCTTTTCTTTAAAACACTCGAAAGCCTCTTTCTCCGCTTGCTGCAGGTCTTTTGTCATCCAGCAGATTCCCAGCAGCAACCTGTTCATGGTTGTTGTTGACAACAAGTGTGACTGCAGCAGTATTCCTCCGGTAACCATGGATCCCATCGAGATCATGTATATCCTTTACAAATTAAACATACAGCGGGTAAAATAAGTATTGAACACATCACTATTTTTCTCAGTAAATATATTACTAGAGGTGTTAATGACATGAAATTTTCACCAGATGTCGGTAACAACCCAAGTGATCCATACAAACAAAGAAATCAAACCATAAATGTCCAGAAATGAAGTTATTTGTAATAATGTGGAATGGCACAGGGAAAAAG